CTGTAGATATCATAGTACTGACTTGGGTTCCTGGGTTGATAGATAGATACTTTTTAAGCAAGTTATTAGGATACAAAATGGTGGAACTATATAGCTCAGTAGGCCTGGAGGGAAGCCCCAGACCTGTTTCCTTACCTGTGGCCAGAAACTCTGTTAGATTAATAGTCTAAATGACTATTGTTTCTAGCTGCTAGCCTCAATCTGCCAGAGCTCCCAGCCCCTCATCACCAAGCATCACCAAGCTCCATCAACCTCCTTTCTGGGTGTCTTCTATTCCTGTGAGGCCAATATCCACAGGGCTCACACCTTTCAAACCTGTTGCGGCCCAGTCACACCTTTTTCTCTGCATACTTGCTATAACTGTTATGGTCCATACAACAAAATCTGGTAATTGATTATATTCCCCTTTTTATTGTTCAACAATCATTCCAGGGGCTGCTCCCTGATTTTTTTTTTGTCACCCAAAAGGCCTAACAGCAGGTGCTCAGAAAATATTTGTTGATTGGCTAAACTGACCATGCTGGACAGGAGGGGGCCAAACAAGTGTTTCAACCCATCAAACTGCACAAGGCGTCTGTTACACGTCAGATAGTCTACCGAAACCAAAACCAAAACCACAACCACTGCCATCAGGTCGATCCCGACTCATGGCGACCATGTATAACGAGGGAGGCAAATCTTACAAAAATCCTCACTTAAGATCTCACTTGAGGAGACAGGAAAATAAAAGCTGCAGGAAGGGGGACGATAAAATCCCTTTTGCTTTTCAGCACCTGCTTTCTCACCTATAAAATGTCTGTAGGATAAGGATGAAAGTGCTTGCTAACTAACAAAAAGTTGTACAAATCACCTGACCATCTGTAAGGGGATGATAATACCCACCACAAAGTTGAAAGGAGGAAGAGGAACGGTGGTCGTGAGGCGCCCAGCCCGCGGTGTCAGGCACGAAGCAGGCGTTCAGGAAAGGGGAATGATAGCAGAGGCGGGCAGGACATTGAGTCGAAACGGACGAAATTTGCCCACCGAGCCAACTTCCATCAAGGTCTCGCCCGACCCCTGAGGCTGCGGTGGACCCAGCCGGCACCTGATGCGAAGCGCGGCGCTCGCGCCAAGCCGGGTACACCACACGCCGCGGATGCCGCTTCCGGGAGTTTGAATCCCGCGGCTGCGGGGCGGGGCACGTCACTGCCGGCCGGGGCGCGGCCGGAAGGAAGAGTGGCACGCGCGGCAGGGTCGCGGTACCTCGATTGGCTGCGACCTTTAGGGGGCGGGGCCTGGAACCTGAATCTGGGCAAGGATTGCGATGTAGGCGGGGCAGGTGCTAGGGCGGGAACTCCTACTTCTGAATCTACCTCTGGGTTCTGAGCCTTTCTTGGTTGTTCTGAGGGTTCAGATTTCTCGAGCTTGGTGTTTCTTTGTAAGGGGCTAATTCTTTGTATCAGCTCGCTACTTTGTACATGATGTCAGGAGGAACCAGTGGCTGGAGAAGGACATCTTGCTTGGTAAAGTAGAGGGTCAAAGAAGACTTTCAACAAGATGGGTTGATATAGTGTCCTCAACAATGGTCTCAGATGTGTCAACAATTGGGAGGATGGTGCAGGACTAGGCAGTGTTTAGTTCTGTTGTACAGAGGGTAGCTATGAGTTGGAATTGACTAGACAGCACCTAACAATAACGACAACAATTTTGAGTGTATGCACTATTGTTGTTGTTGTTGTTATGTGCCATCGAGTCAGCCCTGACTCATAGCGACCCCTCCTTGGGTTTCCGAGGCAGTATCACTACGGAAGTAGGATTGCCCAACCTTCCTTCCGAGGAGTGGCTGGTGGGTTTGAACCGCCAGCCGTCTGGTTAGCAGGCAAGTGTCTTAGCCACTATGCTACCAGAGCTCCTATTAGGATGGAGCAAACTACTATTCTTGATGTGATAAACATGGTGACGCGGAAATGGAACTAACTCTTTTTTTTTCTGCATTCTGCAGTATAAGAGACACGTCTGAGGACCAGTTTCTCCCCGTAGAAAATAAGACCCTTCCAGCCCTAATAGGAGCCCTGGTGTTACAGTGTGGTTACATGCTAGGCTGCCACCTGAAAGGTCGGCAGTTGGAACCCACCAGTGTCTCCATGGGAGAAAAGACCTGGAGAGATCTGCTCCAATAAAACACTACAGCACAGTTTTGCTCTGTAGCGTAGTGCCTAAGGAACTTGCCTGCTAACCAGAAGGCTGGTGG